AGGGTGCTGAAAGAAAGAGCAAGGAACCTGCTGTAAACATGAATGAAATTGATAAACAGAGCTCACTTTAAGTAATCGGAAAGAAAATCGATTCAGATAACAGCCGCAACTATGTTATAGATAACAGCTTATATTCCATGAAAAGCCTTTATTCAAGATAAGCTTTATCTTCATATTCAGGTCACCAAAATCCCAGTACACACAAATAAACATGTACAATACATGAAACCTGCAAAGGACTGGGTAAGAACTGTGCCAAGCTGATACAGTGGAGCATCCCTCTTCTGTTATCTCTGTTCTCAGAATAAGAGCTCATCCATTGTATTCTAATTATACAAGTGAAAGCCGAAACATCCTGACTATTTACATGACACTGGTCTAAAATTAAACACTATTGCTGATGACAACTATTCTGAATTCTTCGATTAAATGATCTATACACACTTCATATTTTTAATCTGGTATTCATAATTAGCTAATAATAGATAGGTTTGTTCATGGAGCCAGGGTCATTTTAATGGTATTATTATTATTATATTTAGAGATGTGAGGTTAGTCCAGGCTCACTATCCTCCACAGAAAAACAGCAGCTCAGAGAAATAGTCTGCTCTGTCTTTCACAGTCTTCTATCTGAATTTAGTTCATTGGTCAGAAATCTGGTCTCCTCTGATGCATCTGGGTCTTCATACTGATTGATGGAAAGCATGAGCAAATATGTGCATTGAGGACTACTGACCCACTCCTGCATTCACAGCTGGGTGACCTGCTGACAATTCACTTGATAAATAGAGAAATATATACAATATAGTGATAAATGGGCTTAAACTTATATATTGCTTTTCTATACACACTGCAAACGCTAAGTGCTTTACATATTGTAAGAGCTTTATATTTGCCCATTCTCGTGCACACACACAGCTACACAACCCAATGGGACAGCCACCAGGAGCAACTTCAGTTTCAATGTCTTGTCCAAGCAAAAGCCAAGAATCGAATCACCAACCCTCCGGTTAGGAGACGATCCACTCTCTCCTGAACCACAGCCACCCTGCTGTGTGATAAATCTGTCGGACTGCAGTAAGCACAAGCAGCACAAATGCCTCAGTGTCTTACAAACTCTCCCTGATCGCCCCTGTCATTCACTGTCTCTCACTTGTCTGCTTCATTCTCTCTCCCATTGTAAGTGCAGCCTTCTTTATATTTAACAATGAATCCTGGTGAAATAAAGCTCACATTAGCTCTGTTGCTAGTCCGTCCTCTCTCAGCAGGCAGGCTGCAAAGTATTGGGTACATCTGTCAGATCACTCAGGATGTAATCTTTGAATTAATCATCTGAGTTTGTAGGAAATGTTATCATACTTTAGTGGTCCAAAAAGGTGTTTGCAGAAACAAAATTTCACTTGTGTGTGCGTTGAGCAGTGTTTGTAGAAATGTGTGACAGCTAGTCAACCTGACATTCAACCCGACAGCCAGACAGGAACATGAAACAGGAAATTGCTTTTGGGACAGCCAATCAGGAAAAGCTCTCTGTAAGCAGGAAGGACCTGTCACAGTGGTCCTATCAGGTGTCAGTCATTCTCACAACAACCTCAGTGCAAATGTCAATCATCACTTAATCCCACTTCTGGAGAAAGGTATTTAGGATTATATTTGATTGTGCATTGCAGAAGCCATTTAAGTTGTCTTTATTATCTATTATACTGTATTAGGCCTGAATCAGTGAACTTTCAGCAGTGGTTAAGGTGCAAACCATGTAATTTTAGGTTTGATCCCAACTTTGGACCTTTGTTGTCTCTCTCATTGTCTTAACTGATTCTACATTGGCACTGTAACCTCCATAATACAGGGAAGAAAACAAAAATAAACAAAATACCAGCAAACTATTAAAGTTAATTTACTTTGTTTGTAAGTCTAGAATAAAATACAGTACAATATACTAGTAACCTTACATTTTAAACTGGAGATACATTCTTCTGATTCAAAAATATAATTTGAAAAAGTTCATATTATTCACATCAATCCTTTTACACAAATACATTCATCAAATACATTTCGGAGCATCACCCAACACATAACTGGGCATGTATCTGTGATAAGATCGTGTAACATACTTGTCCAAATAAAGGTGATTATTATTATTTTATGTGCAGAAATATACTTCTGCAACTGTTTTTCTAGTTGAAAACAAATTAGTTGTGGTGCATAATTTCACATTGTGTTGTGATAACTCACTAAATACACTGCCAAATTACTTCCTAGAGTGCAGGACTGTTAACCTAGTAAAAGGATTTTATTTGAACCACTTAATAATGGGAATGCCTAGAGATATTAGGACCAGTCTCTTGAAAACTGAAGGCAAAAAGTGAACTCTCCAGTACACTCTATGTCTTACCCCTGCATTGCAGAGGGTGGGTTGATAGTGGTCCTTGAATGTTATACTGTCAGAGTCAAGCTGTATGTGAGAGAGTGTGTGTGTGTGTGTGTGTGTGTGTGTAATCGGTCAAAGCCTGAAGAGACGATCAACAGCTCACACTGTCATAGGGCCACTTAAGACCTGACACACACACACACACATAAGCACAAACAGTGTCATGAGAGTGCCATGGTTGATGTGTATTACTCTGCTGGTGACAGGACTAAACATGCAATTATTCTCCATTTCTTTTGTTTCCATCCGGTGCTCTCCTCTCTGCCACCTCACTCCACTTATTTATCTGTCGACCTATCTATTCTATTCCTCTGCAAGTTGTGCCACAATCACAAACCATTTTCTACGCATGGATGACAATGTCATCTATAAGTTGGCGTCAGGAGAACGTGAAAAATGAGAGAAGGTGTCTGCAGAATGCAGCAATCTATAAGTAATAATAATAGTAATCATATTTACCAGCTTGAAAAGACGAATACAGATTACGATTCTGAGCTCGTAGAGCTGCTGTTACACAACACTGCCTCATCGCATTATCTCCCCTAGATATAAACACACCTGGGTGCATAGACATTTATATCTATTGAATTGAAAATGCCATGTCACCTTGCACAGTTCTGCAGATCCTTTGGGACACTTCACTTCAGCAGTTATAAAAAAGGCAGGGAAAAATTGAATGCATCTTATTTTTTCAGCAAAGGATTACAGAGACATGCTGCAAATGATTCTCATGATTCTCCATTTTAAAAAGAAAACTGTTTCATGTTGCAGCACCTAGGATGGAGAATTAAGAAATTCATTTAATTCGTGTTTTTATGAAAATAATCACTTCTTTTCATTAAACAGAAAACACTTGCTCTTCCTTTTATATTTATATTAACTACTCCACAGTTGTGTACAGGATACTCGGCCCTGTTCCCAGCAGCTGGGGCACATGGTTGGAGGTTGCTCAGGAGGGATGTTCTGCAGTGGGCAGCATGGGGAGGAAGGCCAGGTCACTGTTTTCCTTCCCTCAGCTCCACGTACAATCACTCAACTGTCAGCCACCTCTTAGACGAGCTTTCTCCTCAGGGTCTAGGAGCTGTCTAGGAGGGGGTCACATCATGCAATGGGCCAACTCTGTCCTGTCAGGTCAGGGAGCGACACCGAGCTGCATAACTCCACTTCAAAATAAATCACGATAAACAATGAAATAGAGGGATGGTTCAACTTTACAACCATAAAACAAAAATATTGCTGCTCTGGACGTCCCTGATGGTGGCTTTTTCCCATCCTGCTCTGGTGCTGGTGGGTCGAGGCGGACATATTACAGACATAGTCCCCTCCGTGTTTTTATTATTCTTTTGCTGGTTTAAACCACCTTCCCCCCTGTACTGATTTTTTTATTCCTTTAATTTCTTTTTCCCTCATTTCTCTTTCTCTTTCTTTAACCCCCCTGCCTCCCGTTTCATAGTATTTTCTATTAAACTCACCCAACACACCTTCACACACAAATCACGTTAAACTTCCTCCGCTCTTCTATAAATGTCCTGTATCCATGTTTCAGGTTTTGTCTTGATAATGCGTTGTTTCTGTTTTGTTTGTTTGCTTGTTTAGCTGTTGTTGTAATATAAAAACAATAGTGCTTTGGAATGACAGCATTTTTATCATTTATCAAGTGAATGCTTGCAAATATGTTTGTTCTATCAGTCATACCTTGTTTCAGAAATACATGATGCACACTAAAATACAGGAGTGTGAAAAAATAAATCAGGCTACTAATGTTGATTTCTGAGACAGAACTGGCTCGCAGGCATCTCTGATGTTATTACTGAGGAAGCCTAAAATTCTTTTTCCACCTTCCCCACTCTAGACTTTCCCAGCAGTTCCAGCTATTTGAACTAGCAACAGACCTGCAGCTTAAACATTAGGCTGCCTCCAAACCTGCAAAAACATATCTGAGCCCTCTATGGAGACGTGTGATATTCTGACCAAACCAACATGGACTCCAGCAGCACTCTAAATTTAAAAACCAGAGTGTGTTCTGGTATAACGGCATGCTAATTTTCAAACAAGACCACAGATAATGGGAGTGAAAACAGCAATTTATCACCTTCCTTGTGGAATTTGAATAAATCAGGAAAATCAACAAGACTCCTGTGTAGCTAATCAATCAGTAGTTGTATCTGTTCTCTCTAACAACATCATTAGTCCTCTTTTAATATTAAACGCCCCCCTTGAAAGTATACACGTTAGAGAAAATTGCAGTGAAAATAACAACAACTCTCTTTAATGTGCACCAGTCAGCTAACAGAACAATAAAGCCTCAAGGCTACTAATTCTTGGGAAATAGCATCCTGTGTCCCCACCTAATTTAAAGAACAAGGATATGGTGTTCACTTTGTTTGTGTGTGTTTTGTGTGAGTTTGATGTCCTCCAGATCCGAAACATAACAGCAATGTCTATGTCAATCACCTCTCAAACGCTAGTGGTAACTGCTGATTTGTGATGTACTCATGTCTCCACTGCCATGCCCTCAAACATGACTATTTATTTTATTCAACACTACAGTCTGTGGGTGGACAATTCTCACCATATGCTTGGTGCTTCTGTCCCGCTGATTTCCAAGAAGTCATATTTGTCCTCTAGTAAGAAGTCATTGAAGACAAGCGCTATGGTATCCCCAGGTTCGGCGAGGATTGACCATGTACAGTCCAGGTTGTTGTCATACTCTGCAGGGTATCCTGGGCTGGTTATTGAACCCGCGGTGCCTCGTAATGTACCCCCACATGCTCCCTCCGCTGGAGAGAGGAGAGAAGGACAAAATGAGATGAAACAGCAACTCTCCAACATACAACTGTTTTTCATATTTCTTACACTGATTTTGGTGCTTTCTTTCTCCTCACAGCAAGAAGGTTGTTCAAATTGGCCAGCTGTCTGGAGCGAGATTAGTGGTCAGTCTGTTTGTCAGCCCTGTTCAAGGTGTACCCTGCCTTTCACCCAGTGGCGGCTGCTTGGCTCCAACCCCTCCACAACCCTCAAGTATAGATGGGTACAGCTAATACCAGCAATAGCATTTCTATTTCTAGTGCATTAGTCTCAAACTGTTTTACTATTTATAGTATATTTGTAATTCTTGGTGTTAAAGTGTCAGTCATTTGTAAAACTGTTTAAACTTTCCTATTCTGCATGAAATGTGCTATTCAAGAAAAGGTATGTGTATTTATTCAGGATTACTTTATTGTCACTCCATTGCAAAACACAACAAGATATTGGTGCCCCCATAGCAGCCATTAAACCACATGGTAAAAAGAGAAGAAGGAGCCTAAAGTAAACATAGATATATACATAAATATATATTTAAAATACATGAATTAAAACAAGTTCAATGTAATAAATGACTTCATTAATAGTCTAGATAAAAGTTAATCGTGGCTAAAACTTTTAACTGAGCAGCACCACTGCTTGGGGAAAAGCTGTTCCTAAAACAGGTGGTTCTAATCTGAATCACCCAGATTGTTCTACCCAAAGATCGAACAAATAGTGAGCTGGGTGCAGTTTATCTCTGACAACATTAGAAGCTCGGGTAATGCATTGCGAGGTGTGCACTGTGCTAATGTCCGGTAGCTGGGTAGCAATGATTTTCTCAGCAACTGTAATAACACTCTGGATTGCCTGTTGTTCCTTCTTGGTGCAGTTACCAAACCACACTACAATACTATACATCAGCATACTCTCAGCAGTGCAATAATAGAAATTCCCAAACACCTTCTGAGAGAGATGTGCTTTCTTTAATTTCCTTAAGAAATAAAAGGAATTTAAAGTTTGAGACCTTTTCCACAGCCTCGCCCTTAATGAAGAGAGGCTTTTGATGAATAGGTTTCTTTTTCTGGAAATCTGTGATAATTTCCTTAGTTTTTTTGATGTTTAGGCCCAGGTTTTTAATCACACTGAGTGGTCAATACCTCCACCTCTCTCGTATAGGCAGATTCATCATTGTCTGTAATCAGACCAAGCACCATAGTATCATCCTCAAATTTTATGACTGTATTTTTATGAAAAATAGGAGAATAATCATGCATGAAAAGACTGCACAAAAGTGGGCTAAGCACACACCCCTGCGAGGTTCCAGTGCATATACTGTATGTATATATGTAACTAATAACTAACGACTGAGCGGACCCAGCTTTCAGAGGTGACTGCCATTACAAGCCAGCTGGACCAGCCACTGTTTAACCTGAGCAAACACAATGCAGATGCTGTGTCAAGCCACATACTGTATCTGCTCTTTGCTTGGGTGAGGACAGGGTTCAGGGATGCTTTGTGTTATGGGTAGGTTAGGTCTGGAAAATGGTGCTGCTTACTGTGGGGCTCTGAAGATTTATGACGACACAGCCTGACACCACCCTCTTTTGGGCCAATAAACACCATTTAACTCGTATACTGAGCTTCCATATGAATGCTCTCCTATTCCTTGGCACATTTAATTGGCTATTATTGACTGTAATAAAATAAATGTAGTGGAGTAAAATGCACAGTACGGCTGTTGCACTGTCAGTTGGCCTGTGTCTTCTGTAAGCAAACTGATAATTGTCAAAGGACTCTGGAATAATGTCCTTGATACTGTATGTCTCTTGATCAGTCTCTCGAGGCACATGGCTGGTAGGGATGTAGTCATTCAGACATGTGACCGAGGAGTGTTTTGCTTTCACAGCCCTATGTTCAAAAGCCTAATTTCTCATTTCAGTTTATGAAGTAACATGTTGTACTGATAAACTAAGATAATAAACATTAACTAAAAAACAATGAGGGGGGTTTCAGACAAGTCAGCTACATACATTTATATGAAACACTCATCTCAGTTACTAGCTATTTAGATAACATGCCAATTTTGACATTTACCTCTGTTAGGTGACATATCAATAACAGTTCCATTTGTTTTCTGTGAGGAAAGATAATATTTGTTAAAGAAAACCAGGCAGTGCAAAAAAAATCTTTATTGTAAAGAAATTATAGTGTCAAATGTTTTCATCATTACCTTTTTTTTTGTCTTGACAGAAAATGGAAATACATAGTGGATAGTACATACTGGCATATACACACTGGATTGTAGAAATAAAATCTCACCCTAGAGACATTAAACTATGCCCCTCTACACAGCACATTAGGGA